TGTACCTTCTGGATAGAAACCAAAACTCTCAGTCACATTTGAGGTTTGAAGAGCCTTTTTTTCCTAGCTGCAATTGCAAGAAGACAGAGCCCTTTTTCCTGAGCTTCAGAACTAGTCATTGCTGGCGAACGTGACGGGATCCTCTGAAAGCCCCCACCTCCGCTAGATTGGGTAGCGCACTCTCATGGAAAGACGTTAGCAAGCTGCGGAATTTCTTGCTGACATTGAATCCTCATTGGCGAGAGCATTCTACATCCCATTATTGCCTAATACACAAAAAAGATTATCGAGAGGAATAGACCTGACGTCCCTGGAAGCCTATCTCAAGCCGATCATAAAAGCCAAAAAATGGAAATCAAGATAACAGAATAACATAATACCACGAAGAAAGCAAAAAAGGCAAGGACTGATGTGGGGTGTGGAAAAAAACTGGAGAATGTACCGGAGTCTTTTTCAAGTGCATTTGATCGATCTAGATAAGGCTGTTGACAGTAATAATTATCGATGAATGATGGTTGCCACCAACACCTCCGAAGTCCGGCCTGGAAGGCCCCCAAATAGATAAAGGTTATGACACGAGTGGGTCGATCTGCGGCTGATTACTGGTCGATCGGAAACCCTTGCGATCAGCCCACCGACCGATCGATGACGATGGCTGGTCCACTAACACAGCTGTTTTTACTTTCAAAACATCAAACCATAGATAATATCTTCATTACATATTTACACAAAAAGCACAGCGAAAAACCAATTGGGGCCAAAAAAAAGAGTAGACCGGCTTGATGAGATCGGCAACGAAAGAAACCCAATAGGAAGATTTTGCACATGAAAGCAGGCGATAATAACATCTCGACTATATGTCGGACAACTTGGAAGTGTAACTCATGGCATCCATCTCAAGACGAACATGATTGGTGTTATTTTTAGGCACCTGAAATTTCTGGCGGAAATTGTTGTATAACAATCATACCCATTTTCCTTTCAAATATTTCTTTACCCTCCTGTATTCACTTGATCAAACCCAAAATGTACGATGGCAACGACGTAAGCCAGTCGAAAACGAACCTCTTCAGTTCCATTGATGAAAGTTCGGAAAGAATTGTATCTCTCACGCGACCATGAGTTAGAAGGTGAAATTTCGAGAGCCTGAAAAAGCGTCTGAGTATAAACGCCTCGAGTAGAGCTACAGAGCAAAAAGCGAGTCTTACCGGACTTAAGCGGTCTTTAACAAGCAGCGGTTCGCTGGTGAGTGGCGATTCTGGCGCCTCCAACAAATCTTCGTCTCTTATCACTGATCGTGTGTTCACTGCAATGGTTCACAATGAAGATAGGTCTGTAATCAGGAGAAAAGGAAGGTCTTTTGCAAAAAATGCAAAATTCATGAAAACCCGAGCGGCATAGAAGACTAAAGCAAGTTGTGGAAAAAGGTATCAGTGTCCACTGGATGAAGGCGATCCCTTCCACTAAAAAGTCTCTAGGCTGAGCCATTGATACATAATATGCGGAGTGCGCTCAGATANTGAGTGGCGATTCTGGCGCCTCCAACAAATCTTCGTCTCTTATCACTGATCGTGTGTTCACTGCAATGGTTCACAATGAAGATAGGTCTGTAATCAGGAGAAGAGGAAAGGCGTTTGCCAAAAAAATCTTCGTCTCTTATCACTGATCGTGTGTTCACTGCAATGGTTCACAATGAAGATAGGTCTGTAATCAGGAGAAAAGGAAGGTCTTTTGCAAAAAATGCAAAATTCATGAAAACCCGAGCGGCATAGAAGACTAAAGCAAGTTGTGGAAAAAGGTATCAGTGTCCACTGGATGAAGGCGATCCCTTCCACTAAAAAGTCTCTAGGCTGAGCCATTGATACATAATATGCGGAGTGCGCTCAGATATTGCCAACAAACACGGATGTGGCGTATAAAAAAAGAATCTCTAACTGGCAAACTGCTTCTTCTCAGTCGTCGTTCAATAGTGGGCTCAAGGCAGGCTTTGCCCGCCCTTCAAAATTACTGTTGCCTACATCTGAATGACAAATTAAGCTGCGATAGGAGCAATTGTGGCAAATGCGCTCCGTGGTGGCCTATCCCACAGAAGGTTATAAAGCATGTGATGCTAAAACTGATAGACAAGACTTGTTGATGAAGGAATCTGAGTAATTGAAACAGACACGAGATAGTTCCGAAGTGATTCGGGACCTGAACAAGTTGAAAAGAGCCATTATGTCCATATTCAGTGACTTGTTGATGAAGGAATCTGAGTAATTGAAACAGACACGAGATAGTTCCGAAGTGATTTGGGACCTGAACAAGTTGAACAGAGCCATTATGCCCATATTCAGTAGGCGTTTAGAGTGACTAAGGGCTCAGGGATTGTATGGTAACACAATTTAGAAACAGTAGTTGCCATTAGAGTAAAGGGGGAAAGGGAGTCTGTTCAATATCTGTTTGATGACAGAACGGCAGCCAACAATAATTTTTCTCGGCATCATCTTTCTCTTGACCATCAAGTAGTCAGTAGTTAATAGGATTTTGGCTCGAACCGTCATATACTTCAGGGAGGCGATCATTTGGCCCTTTTGGCCGGGTCTGCTTGTATTCTGCCTGTCTACATCGTCTACTTGAATTTTCATGGCGCTTGGACGAGTTATCCATCTCGCAAACCGCGACGAATGAACGGCGCGATGGGAGGGATCGCGCCAAACGACATATACCCCCTGCTACTCCCAGATGGGGTTAGCAATTTTCGCTTTAGTTTTTTCATTTTTTTATGCGTACATACATACTATACAACATAACAAGGAGAACTAAGGGTAATTTGAAAAAGGGGGAATTTCCACTTCAAAGGACTTTGGCCTTTTTCTGTTTTAGATAAGAGGAAGCCCACAATAGAGTCACTTCGAGATGAAAGTATTTGGATTTGCTTCTTCTTCTTCAGCATTTGTCCCACTTAGCAGCTGAACCGCTCTTCTGCTATGTTGACGGCACTTTTCCCAACAGAATGCTCGATCGGGATGGAGGCCAGCAACTTTCAAGTCCTCACGCAAGGTATCTAAATACTATTACTATGATCTTCCTTTAGGCTGTTTTTTTGAGATGTCGAGGTTGAGGCCGATTTTACAGGCACTGTTTTCGGCCGCGCGTAAGACATGACCGTACCACCGGGGACTTCGAGCTTCGCACATTTCATCAGCAATAGGGATCACTCTGAAATGCTCCCTTACCGCACCGTTGCTAATACGATCCAAACGCGTGGCTCCAGCCGCCCATCGCAGCATTTTCGTTTCCGTTACTCTTAGGCGTGCTTCAAGTTCTCGTGTTACAGGCCAGTACTCCGTACTGTAAATCGCGACTGGTCGTATGCCCTGTAGATCTTTATTTCTTTGGTAATTAAAGTAGTAAATTATTCGTTATAGTTAAACATCGTTTCGCCAGCTCTAGACAACAATTAAGGACACAGTGAATGGAAGGTGGGTATACCCTCGCTAGATAGTGCTGGCAGCTTCTCAATCTCAGAACTAAACCAATATCTTCGCGCGAAGCTGAGCGAGAAAGGGTCTCTGTCGTTCTATGCTGTCCTGCCGTCGAAATACTCTCCGCAGAATTCAGACAATTGCTTTGAATGCATGTGCTTTCAAGTTGTCGCATTTCTGCACTTCCTAACGTTTTCGTTCAAAATGCGGCTTCTATTGATAAAAAGTATTCAGGAAGCTGGCGTGCCCTGTGGCAAACGAGGACCGTGCTTTTTCTTGAAACTTCCAGAAAATGTTCCTAACTGAGGAGGTGTTCTGACTGCGCTAGTTTCTTTTCAAGATTAACTTACAGATGCAATGTTTTCTGAAGTCGTACAGCGTTCAAGTGTTACTTCCAGAAATCCTGTTCGACATATTGTTAGGAGAAAGGGAAGCGCGTGTAGTTTTGGTGTGCAGCGAACGGGGAAAATGTTACACCATTCAAATTTTTTGTGAGTAGGACCGTGCAAATCATGTTCTTGGCTTTGTTATACTGCCCTCAAGAACTTTCTGTACAAGTACAAAAACTAACTGTCAACGATCAATTTTGCCAATTATTGTCTATAATGCGTGTGTTTTGATTGGCTTCAAATCTCGTTCTCTGAGTCTAAGCAAAGATTCAGTCAACCGAATGCGACATTCATATACCATAGGACGTCGAAGCCTCCATAACTATTGCTTGGATGGTTGGGCAGAGATCAAGCAAAGGTGTAAACGAAGGTCTACTAGGTGTTCAGTGGTTGGATGTGGTGCTGCATGTCATATCGAAGAAGGAAATTAGAAAGCTGATATTATCCGGCTTGCCTGGCTGTTGAAGGCTGCCATTTAGGGTGGTCCCCTTGTTTCTCCCCCAAGAACGCCGTTTTACGAGGCAAATACCTCGAAGCATCAATTCAGGCCATGAAGATGCTACACACGGAAATATTAAAGGATAAACTAAGGATAAAGTTTTCGGCGCCAATTAATCCCGCCTGAGGGATGCTCTACGCATTCGACTTCCATTCAGAATCGTAGTGGCGTATTGAACGCATATTCGGCCTGAACAATGACTTGCGGTGACCAGCCGATGTACAAATCAGTGCTTTTATCCTCCCAGACGAGTCTGGTACCAATTGACCGATCCCGGAGGGATGGAAGGCTTGATTGGCTTGGGCGGGCATCGATCCGAGATTCGAACCCCAGACCGTGTACGAGAAATAGTGCGCCACTTGCCACTACACAACCTTCGCCCACGGAAATATTACGGAAGCAGCAAAAATTAAATCAGGGCTTCTCTTGGATCCTCTCGAGATGTTTCTAATTCTTTTTTGAGAATCATGGTGTTCTCCGAAATTCAAAAGCAAAGTCTCAAATCCACAATTCTATTGATTCATTGTATGGAGCCAAGGTCATGCATAATTCTAACAAGATGCCTTCAGAAAATCTAACGGCGCTGAGCATTACGAATACCAAAGACTGTCGGACTAATAGTAGTGGAGTACCCCATAAAAACTATTAGATGGTATACAACTTACAGTAGGTTCTGTTATAATGTGAGAAGCTTCGTGAACGATTCCATGGCATTCGCGGAGTGCAACACGCCAACCGTCGAAATTCGGTCATTCGAAAGTAGCATAAAGGTTGACATACAGAGTGAACTCCGATGAACACCTGAAAATGATTATAATACGCCTTCAATGGTACAGTAACTAAAATTATGATCTTTTATTACTAAAAAAGAATTGATACCGAGTGCAAGATTGAAAAGCACAGCAAATCTCCGGACTGATTGCTTTCGCAAGTGATTAGATAGATTCCTACTTACTCATGCACTCGGCTTCAACTCAGAATCATAGTGGGGATGTAAGTCGTCCTAAATCTTAAGTTCTTGAGCTTCAAAACAACTTGCAGGAGCTGGTCGAGGTACGAGATATCGGCAAGGGGTTAAGTCATGCGCGTGACAGCATCACCACATGATACCACCCCCC